GTGGGAAGGGGGGTGTGGTGTGTGTGTGTGTGTGTGTGTGTGTGTGTGTGTGTGTGTGTGTGTGAAGTGAGAATGCAGGGCTAAGCACCTGGGTTATGTACAAAGGACCAGTCTGATGGGGTTCAGGGAGTATGCAGGGTGGTGGTAGGGTGCCTGCCTGATTTGGTGCAGCCTTGGGGTATGCCATCTCCTTTCCCACTCTCTTCAAGTCTCTGCTGAAGGCTGAGCAGGTCTGAGAGTCTGTCAAGGCACTCATAAGTCCAAACTTCCTGGAATGATTTAAACCTATAAACACCAGTGTTCTTATGGTGGAGGTTTTTCAACTTTTGTGTTTTTCTAAGTACCAGGCCAGTGACTTGGTGAAACTACGGTGCATCCTGGCACAGGATCTCCTTTATGTATGAGGGATTAGCTGTCCATCTCCCCAGTGTCTGCCCTGTCCTGTTCTTTCCAGAGTAGGGCCACCGGCCCCCAGCTAAAGCACTGTTTAGAATTCCAGACACCCACAGCATGCGTGGGACCCAGCTGGCCTATAGCGAGGTGTGGGTACTTCATCAGTCAGCGAGTGTAGTGTGAGACAGCTGGAGCAGCTGAAGGCCATCAACCCCCATAGGCCTGCTGGATGGGTCACCCATGCCTGGCCAACAGGCCACTTTTGAAACACAAAGCATTTGTCCCTGAGCCCCATGAAACTGGACGCCAGGTTGTCCCCATGGCTGTCATAGTCCTGGACCCCTGCACTTGCCCAAGAACAGCTGGGTGTTCTATCTGGCCAGCACAGGACCAGGCAGGGAAAATCTGTGGCTCCCAGAGTGCACCCCAACTTTATGCTCCGGCTGGGACCTCCCCACCACGGTATCTATCTCCTGGAGCCTGGAGGACGGTCTCCTTCCCAGAGGCTCCTGGGCCAGTACGTGAAGCTGTGTCCTGGCCCTACCTACCTTCTCTCTGGGAGGCTGGGAGAAGCCATTTCCCATTGTTGGGGAAGGTATATATTTCAGCCATTCAGCACAGGATCCTGATGTCAGCATGAAGACCCCACTTGGGTTCAAAGGGCAAGTCCCTAGGCTGTCACACTACACATCTGGGGCCCACATCTGCCAGCCAACCAGAGCCCAGCCCTGAAGGTTGCCCCTAGTGAAGCTCAGCCCATGCTGTAGAGGCAGCTGGTGAAATAAAAGATGTTGGCAGAGGACTGGAGAGATGGCTCGGTGGTTAAGAGCACTGTCTGCTCTTGCAGAGGACTCAAGTTCAATTCCCAGCACCACATGGCAGCTACAAACCATCCTTAACTCCAGTTCTAGGAGAATCCAAAGCCCTCTTCTGACCGCTGCATTGCACAACGGGGGTACACTCACATACATGCAGGCAATACACTCATACACATAAAATAAAAATAATAAAATATTTTTTTTAAAAAGTAACTGGTTGGTGTTGAGTGGATGGAAGGAAATTAGAAGCCAAAGATCCAGTACAGTGTCAGAAGAGTGGAGCAGCAGGACCAGCGGCAGTACTTAGGTACCATAATCTCTTGTCTCCTTCCATGTACATGAAGATATTATTCCATTTTGGTTTGTAACTCGATCTTCCTATGAACCCTAACTCCCTCGCACTGGCTCCTTCCGCCTCAGCCTCCCTGAGTCCTGGGATTACAGATCCGCACCACCATTCTCTCCAATTGTTTGTCTGCTTGGTCTTTGGGATTTTGTTTGTTTTTTTTGTGATGCTAGGGATGGAACCCAGGGACTAGTGCATGCTCAGCAAATGCTCTACCACCAAAGCATGCTCCAGCCCTAGGTGGCCTTTATTTTTATTTTTTATTTATTTGATTTTTGTCTTTTTAAAAAATATTTTATTTATTGTTACTTTTATTTTATGTGTACAAGTGTATTGCTTGCATGTGTGTGAGTGCACCCATGTCATACAATGCCACAGAGGTCAGAAGAGGGCTTCGAACTCCCCTAGAACTGGAGTTAAGGACAGTTCATAGCTGCCACGTGGGTGCTGGGAATCAAACCCGGGTCCTCTGCAAGAGCAGTAAGTGCTCTTAACTGCTGAGCCAACTCTCCAGCCCTGATTTTTGTCTTTTTGAGACAGGGCCTTCCTGTAGCCCGTGCTGGCCTGGAACTCTATGTAGACCAGGCTTACCTCAAACTCAAAAATCCGCCGGCCTCTGCCTCCCAAGTGCTGGGATTAAAGGTGTGCACTGACACGCCCAGCTCCTAGATGGCCTCCAAAAAGAGCTTGGTGGCGCACGCCTTTAATCCCAGCACTGGGGAGGCAGAGGCAGGTGGATCCTCTGTGAATTCAAGGCCAGCCTGGTCTACAGAGTTCCAGGCAGTTGGAGCTACAGGGAGACCCTGTCTCAAAAAGACCAAAAAAAAAAAGTCCTTTGTAGGGGCTGGAGATATAGCTCAGCAGTTAAGAACACTGGTTGTTCTTGCAGAAGACCCGGGTTCGAATCCCAGCATCCACATGGCAGCTAACAACTGTCTGTAACTCCAGTTCCAGGGGATCCACCAGCCTCTTCTGTCCTCTA